CGGCGCTGACTGGGAATTGAACTGGTGACCTTTTGGTTTGCAGGCTCAATCCACTGAGTCGCACCAGCCAGGGCCAAGCCCCAGCTTGTTACAGTATTTCAAACTAGTAATTGAATGCTCAGTCTGGCATCTCAAACCATAAAATTGTGGTGCCTTACGCAGCAACTAGACCACCACTGTGTCACCCCAAAAGAGACTAGACTCCAGTTCTGATACCCCTATAGAAGTTCCAGAAATACCAGTCTTGGTCACCCAAAACTAGACAACCCAAACCCCAGTCTGTCACCCCAAAGTAGACTTTAGAATCCCAGCCCCCATCACTCCAACCTTGACAAAGAGTCCCTAATCTGCCACTTAAGCTTTGAGAACTAGACCCACTGTGTTTTTAAGACAAACTGGACAAGCAGCTATTTCTCAGACTCAACAACATGATCCCCCCAGGCGCTGTCACTCCACTCTAGGCAGTGAGAACCCCAGTCTCTGTGGTCCCGAGTCATGCAAAAGGACCCCCCGGGGCTCTGTCCCCACTAACAGCATTGGTGTCTCAGGAAACAACCAGGCCCCAATCAGGCTGCCTCTAGCCAAAGGGACACCTTTCCGTGTCATTCCAAACTAGGGTCCCCGACTCCAGATGTGCCACCTACACACCCAGGCCTCAAGAATCCCCCTTCTCTGTCACCTCAAGCTACATAAATGACCTCTGGTCTGTCATCTCAAAGTTGGTAATAGATTCCCAATGTATTTTAAAAAATATTTTAAAAAAAGATTTTAAGAAAGATTTTTAAATCTTTCTTTAAAAAAAAGATTTTATTTTTAGAGAGAGGGGAAGGGAGGGAGAAAGAGAGGGAAAGAGACATCAAAGCATTTTTTTTTTAAAGCTCTGACTGTAGCCCTGGCTGTTGTGGCTCTGTGGATTGAGTTGAGCATTGGCCTTCAAACCGAAGGCTCACCGGTTCGATTCCCAGTCGGGGCACATGCCTGGGTTGTAGGCTGGGTCCCCAGTTGGGGACATGCAAGAGGCAACCACACATTGATGTTTCTACCCCTCTCTTTCTCCCTCCCTTTCTCTAAAAATAAAAAATAAGAAAGAAAAAAAGGATGGAAGGAAGGAAGGAAGGAAGGAAGGAAGGAAGGAAGGAAGGAAGGAAGGAAGGAAGGAAGGGAGGAAGGAAGGAAGGAAGGAAGGAAGTGAGTGGTTGCCTCTGGTGCGCCCTCTACTGAGGACCTGGCCTGCAACCCAGGCATGTGCCCTGAGTGGGAATTGAACTGGTGAGCCTTTGATTTGCAGGCCAGCACTCAATCCACTGAGCCACACCAGCCAGGGAGATTCCCAATTTCTATTATCCTGAACCAGAAACTAGATACTTAGCCCAAACAAGACAAACAGATGCCCAGTCTGACACCCAAAACGAGGCACAGGCACTCCCTGGCTCTGCCACTGCACACTGGACCACTGGATCCCTTGTCCTTGTCACCCCAAACCTGGCCCACAGCCTCTTTAATCGTGAAGCTGACAACCACACCCCTAACCTGTCACTCCCAGTTGGCCAACTAGAGCCCCCAGCCTCTGTCACCAAAATTTGAAAAGCCTTTTGGTCTCTATTTCTTTGCTGAGACACCAAGCCCCCCATTTCTGTTACCCCCAAACAAACCTCTCAACCCCAACATCATGCAGGCAGGGATGGGCGGGAACATGGACCCTGAGTCTCGACAGTCCTGTATGGAATCTTCTGGTCTCAGCATCTCAATAGCTCAACGTCAGAATTAGGGACTTGCAGCCAGTCACCCCAGCAAGGCACTAGACCACATTCACTGCAGGCCCAGCAGCCTAAACCGGATGCAGTGACAACCTACCCTGTGGGTACTGTGGGTATGAAGACTCAGTCTCCCCCAAGAAGCAGTGCACTGGTATCCAGACCAACAAGCAAAACGCTCTATGCTACCCCCAAATTGGGCCTGGGACACTGGTCTCCAAGTAGACCGGGTGCCTGACTCAGGGCCTCAGACACCCCAGGTCTCATCTCCCAGGACAAGCTGGCTGGCTCCTTGGAGAAGGTCTGGAGGAAGCACGTTCTCGCCCTCTGGTGGCTGCCACTGGAAGTGCATACCCAGTCACTGTCAGTGGACCAGTGTGGATGCCAGGCTGCCTGGTGTTTGCGTTTTGCCATCTTGCCGGAAGCCTTGCCTGCTCCCTCCCACTCAGCTCCCACGCAAGTCAGTCACCAAGTCCCAAGCCTCTTCCTCCTGAGTCCACCTTCCGTGTCTGTCCTGTCCATTCCACATCCCTGCCTCATCTTCCCCAGCTTGGCTCATGCTCCCTGGTCTCGCTTCCTCTAGTCCATGCCCACACCACCCCAAAGGGATATTTCTATCATTCATACTTGACCCTGTCCCTCCCCTGCTCAAAACCCTCCCATTATTCCATGTGACCTTAAGGGGAAATTCAAAGACCTTCTGTGGCTTGCTGGGCTTGTGACCTGGCCCCTAACACCCTGCCACCATGGTCTCCTAAGGCTATCCCCTCACTCCTAAACACTGCCTTGTCATTGGGCAGGTCCAACCCCAGGGCCTTTGCACTTGCTGGTCCTTCTGTCTGGAATACTCTTCCCCCAGACCTCCAGGGGACAGTCTCCTCCTTGCTGCCCCACAAGGCCTGGCCTCACTGCTCTAAGCGAGCCCTGCCTTTCCTCAGCTACTCTCTAACCTCACCCAGACTCATTTCTCTGGCTTCAGAGCATTTATGACTGTCTTGAGAGTTTCCTGTTGCTGGTTGTTTGGCTTGTGGATTGCGGCTTTCCCACTGAATGTGAGCTCTGCATGGGCAGGGCCTCATTCATCTGCAGCCCTGATGTTTCCTCAGCATCTTAGCCAGGGTGTCCAGTAGGAGCAGAGTACGAGCCACAAATGTAACATTACATTTGTTACTTACTCAATTGTAAGAAGTAAATTACAGGAGAGAAAGCAACTTAAACCATTTTACCTAACATATTTTCCTCCCAATGCATAACCAATAACAAAACAGGGAAAAAGTACAGGGAGTAGCATAAATGGAAGAAAATAGAGGGAGGTTAAGAACAGTATAGGGAATATAGAAGCCAAGAACTTACATGTATGACCCGTGGACATGAACTAAGGGGGGAATGCTGGTGGGAGAGGTGTGCAGGACAGAGGAGAATAAAGGGGCGATGGAACAACTAGTAGCATAATCAGAATATATTTAAAATTATCGAGACTTAAAAAAAAAGATTAAAAAAATATTTATATTTAGAGGGGAAGGGAAGGAGAGAGGAAGAGAAATATTAATGTATGGTTGCCTCTCATGCATCCCCTGCTGGGAACTGGCCTGCAACCCAGGCATGTGCCCTGACTGGGAATGGAACCGAGATTGTTTGGTTTGCAGGCCTGCACTCAATCCACTGAGCTACACCAGCCAGGGCTTAAAAAAGATTTTATTTTTAGACAGAGGGGAAGGGAGAAAGAGAGGAAGAGAAACATCAGTGTGTGGTTGCCTCTCACACGCCCCCTACTAGGGACCTGCCCTGCAACCCAGGCAAGTGCCCTGAGAATTGAACTGGTGACCCCTTGAATTTGCAGGCCTGCACTCAATCCACTGAGCCACACCAGCCAGAGCTATTGAGACACATTATGCCCTTGTCCTACTATGTCTCTCAAATTCGTTGTTTTACTCTCACGTCTCAATTTGGACCAGTCAAGTGCTCAGTAGCCACTTGTGGCTAGTGGCCACCATATGTGACAGGATCCCAAAATGACGCTAGGTATTCAGTGAGCACTTGATAAACACCTGCTGAATGATGAACTGTGAGGTTTTTCTTAATGTTTAAATTTTAGAGAGGGAAACATCAACGTGAGAAACACTGACCAACCACCTTCCATACACCCCAAGTGGGGGTCGAACCCGAAACCTTGGTATGTGCTCTGACCAAGAATCAAACCCCCAACCTTTTGATGTATGGACATTTAGTCCAAGCCTCCTGGCCAGGTCTGAGGCCAGGCGTCTGCTTAGGACACTCCTCCTGCAGCTCTTCCTGTGGCTCAAGGCTCACAGAAATGTCACCTCCTCAGAGAGCCCTCCTGGATTGGCCCCATCTGAAGAAGCCTTCAGGCCCTGCCCAGCACCTCAGTTTTTCTTTTGCCAGTGTTTCCGCCTGGCAGTCTTCACCTTACTACAAAAAGCAATTCACGTCTCCTTCACTCAGCGTAAAACCAAAGCTCACACTGAAGCCTGCCAGTCTCCCCCTTCCGGCTCATCAGCTCTGGCCACAGCGGCCTTATTGCCACTCCTGACCTCCCAGCATGCTCGTCTGTGGGCCTTTGCGCCCACTTGCTGCCTCCTCTACCTGGAACGTTCTTCCTTCCAAGGATCTGAAGCTACTCCCTCCATTTAGGTTTTCACTCACCGTCACCTCAGGGAGGCCTTTTTTCCAAACTGTAACTCATCCCCAGAAATTTCTCTATGCAGTTAACATGGGAGTGCTGTCCTGAGGGTCCTGCTGCCACAGCTGGCCCTTGGCTGGCATCTGGGAACTTGGACTCTAGGGCGGTTTCCCCACATTTCCTGACAAGTGTGGCTCTTGTGGCTCAACTGTGCAAATGGTACTGTTTATGTGGAACACCTGCTTTCCCTCTGGGATTCTGGAATTTGGTCCATGTCAGATGGAGGGTGCTTCTGTGGCCAACACTCAATCCACTGAGCCACACCAGCCAGGGCGCTTTGTCTCCTTCCATAATAAATCACAGCTGTGAGTCCAGCTGTATCGTCAGTCCTCCTAACAAACCATCCAACATGGGGCTGGTCTGGGGCCCCTGGCATGGTCTCCCTTCCCAACTCTCTTTTCCTTGGCACATACCACCACTGGCCATGCTATCACAGTTTACTTATCTTGCTTAGTGTCTTTCCCCCACCGCAAGCCCCCTTCCGTCTCTACCTCTGCTGCCTCTCTGCACATCCCCCCACAGAACCACAGGAGATCCTGAGGGAGTATGTGCTAAATGACAACTACGACGGCTTTATTTCCAAAGCTGGTTCCCAGGGGTTGTGATGGGAAGGGGGCCTTTGGCTGGAGCAGCAGAGCTGTGCGCGGAACAGGGCTGGACAGGGACGGGGCAGCTGGCGCGGGAGGCTGGCGGACACCTCACACCGGCTCCATCTGCAGCTCTTCACCGTCCACAGCCTCGATCTGGTGGAAGGCAGCGTGGGAGCCGATGACCACGAGGGTGGCTCCTGCAGGAAAATGGACAGTTCAGGGTCTTGCTCCCTCAGGAGGGAGCCCCCAGACCACACCCCGCCACACACGCTATCCAGACGCTGTACTCACCCAGGACCCAGAAGACAGCCGAGCCTGCGCCAGCCAGCCAGAAGAAGGGAAAGGAGATGCCCCCGGCCAGAGCGTACTGATGGGCGGGGGTCATCTCTCGGCCTGGGGGTAGATGGCATTGGGGCAGCTGTTCAGACACACGTGTCCTCTCCCAAGTAACCCCAATGCCCCTCAACAGTCTGGGATCACAAACCTTGGGAGCCTCAGGATCATTCAAATTCCTCATGCCAAAGCCCCCCCAGTCCAGGCTCCACCCTTTCTCCAATGTCCGGGCTACCGCACACCCTCCTCAGCCCCTCCCCTGCTTTCAACCCTACTTCCTCCAGGAAGCTCCCAGCCCCTCTCCCCCCGAGACTAGGGCTCTCCTGCCACCACCTGCTCTCAAGTAGACCCAGGAGTCCCAAACCGAGGGCCTAGGGGCCAAGTCTGACCTTCAATCGTGTTTTTTTGAGTCTGCCCAACATGCCCCAAGAATGTGACTTGAGGCTGACAGAGAAATCAAATGATTTCACGTAACAATACAGATTCCTGGTTTCTCATGGCAGACTGAAAGAGCAGGTATGCAGGCCCCTGGGGCGGCACTGGCTGAAACCAGGTGGTGGCTGCGCTCCAGGTGCTCCCTTCAAGCCCTGCACTTGCCCGCCATGGCTCTCCACCAGCCCACCTCTGTCGTGTACGCAACCTGAAGGCCTCTGGGGGGCTATCTCAGGGCTACCAGCTTATTTGATCCCAACTCTTCTCTGTTCCCACTCCAAACCTTGGACATTCCCTGGTTGGGGACTCAGGCGCCTCTTTCTTCCCAATAGTGCTTGGTGCCTGCCTGGGCATACAGGAGCCGCAGGCCTCAGTTTCCCTCTCTGAGAAGTCCTGAGATCTTTCTGACCCTACCCCAGGAAGCAGGGCAGGGATGGGGACAGATCTAAAACAGTATAAGGTCGCCATCTGGTGTCCAGTGTGGGTGTCTGCAGCTGGTGCTTTCTGCTGAGAGGTTAGGGAGAGTGAGGAGAGGAGTGGGTTGAAGCTAGGTGGAGAGTGGGTTCTGGGATTATTTCATTCTCAGTTTGGAGAATAACAATTTGGGCGGCTGAGATTGTAAGGGATAGGGTTTGGGCGATCTGGTGTACTTCTAGGTTTGGTTACCCTTGGGCTTGAGGGTCTATGGCTTTTGTTCCAAGAGACTAGGATTTGAGGGTCTGGGAATCCATCTGCGAAGGGTATTTCTCACCAAAGAGCACAAACTTGGACTGCAACGTGCGCAGATAGAGGATGTAACAGGCTCCAAAGAAGACAGCTAGGGCCACCAGCAGCATGGGAGATGTCACCCTGGAGGAGGCACAGGGAGGCATGGTCAGGCAGCTGGAGGGGGCTAGCCCAGCCACGGGAACCCTGACCTTCTACATCGCTGGTTGGCAGGCCATGCAAGTTCAGGTCACATTTGGTCACACTGGCCAGGCTGATGGGAAGGTAGGGACTAGACCTTTGGTGAAAAAGTGGCAAAGCTATTCCATGGGGATGGGACCTGGCCAGTGAGAGGAGGAGCTGGCCGCTGAGGGCAGGGCGGACCAGTGCGACCTGGTGGGGGCGGGCGGAGAGGCACTCACACACAGTACAAGATGAGGCCCAGGAACACGAACACATAGTTGCTCTGGTAGTACTCCACATTTCGTACGAGGCGCTGGCAAAGCTCGCCCACGTTGCGGGGCCGCGAGAAGCGCCGCTGGTCCACGAAGGTGCTCCAGGGCCGGATGGTTGCGCGTCGCCGCTCCAGCCACTCTCGGCCCGCACCGGAGGGGATCAGTTTCGGCAGCAGAGTCCTGGTGGGCGGGCCCAGGTCAGTGTAGTCAGGAATGGAGTTCGGACCCCCAGCCAGAGGAGGCTGCGGGGGGCCTGACTCCCGGGTTCTTGGGCGGGGTGGGTAAGGGTGCAAGACTCCTGGTCTCAGGGGAGAGGGGGCTAAGAGCCAGGCTCCAGGGTCCTGGAAAAGGAGACAAGGGGCCGAGACTCCAGCGTTTGGGGGCTGGGGCGGGGGATGCTGGATTCCTGGGACCCGAGAGAGGAGGGACAGAGGGCCAGGGCTCTTGGGTCTCGGTCAGGGGGGCTACAGCCAGCCTGCTCACGTGGCACTCAGCCCTTCCGCCCCGGCATCCTCCTGCTGGTCCTTCTCGGCTGCCATGACGGCGTTGTGAGGGGTAGAACCGCTGTTACAAGGCCTGGGTCCCGCAGACCCCGTCAGCCCTTCCGGAGCCGGGCCCCACCCAGCCGAGCCTACGTGGCGCCGTTCGGCGGCCGCTGGGGACGCGAGTTCTGCCGCTGAGCATTGTGGGAGCTGTAGTTTTGATGGTGTCGGGGACGGTGGACTCCATGATGGTGGTCTTGTTCGCAAACCAGCTTGGGAAATGTCGTGTAAAGTGACGACAGCGCCTCTGGGCATCGTGGGAGTTGTAGTTCCAGAAGCCGGGAGTGTGGTGTGGGGAAGGCTGATTGTCACGAGTTGCCGTTAAGGGAGCTCTAAAGGCAGAAGCAGGTGTTATGTATGCTCCCGTGGAGGGTACAGTAGGTACCGTGTAGACCTGTGTTCTGATTGTAGAGGGCATGAGGCACATGTGGAGGTTTCATAAAACTGATTCCGCAGTTCTGGGATGGCGCCCATCCATCTGCATTTTTAACAAGTTCCTAGGTGCTGCTGATGCTACTGGTGCATGGCCCACGTTTTGAATAGCGAGACGGTAGAGAATTCACGGGAATCCATTCCTTCCATCCTGAAGAGGTGGAGACTAGTGAGAGGGCCATGGTTGCTAGAACAGATTTCTGAGGTGGGGAGCAAAACTTTCCTGGACGCCCACTAATGAATGGGTTAGGACTAGAACTAGGAACCTAGGGTCACCCCGCTCCGCTCCCCGTGGAAAGGGAGGCGGGACATTGTGCGAGGGAAAGGGTTGAGAATTTATTATTATTATTTATTTATAGAGAGAGGGGAAGGGAGGGATAAAGAGAGAGAAATGTCAATGTGCGGTTGTCTCTCTTGTGCCCCCTACTGGGGACCTGGCTCACAACCCACGCATGTGCTCTCACTGGGAATCCAGCCTGCCACCCTTCAGTGTTGCAGGCCGCCACTCAGTCCACTGAGCCAAACCAACCACGGTGGGGTTCAGAATTTTTTTAAAGAGGGTGTTGTTGTAACCAAAAGGACTGGGATTTGGAGTGAGAGGTGAAAATCCAGCCTGTGTTGACCTCATCACCATACTGAACCTTAGCGTCTTCATCTGGACAGTGGGGAACCTGATAGAACCACACTCAGGAGGTTATAATGATTCAGTTACATGGTCCATGTAAAGTGCTTGAGTCCTGATACTTTGTAACTGCCCAATAAATGGCAGTGGATCTTATTGCTATTACAGTATTGAGACAGGATAGGAAGAAGCTAGGAAAATTCCTGGTCAAGTAGAATGGGGAAAGTGAGACAAGAAAATTAAACAAGGCCAAACAGTTTGAACAACTTAGAGCCAGCTGGTGAACTGCAAGAATTTATCTCCCCTATCGAAGCACACTTGAGAGTAAATGGTTTATACCTCTTCTCCCTAACCAGACAATGCATAGCCTCCTTGGCCATAAACCACAGGTGTGGGGGCAGTGAGAGAAGATCGCTAATGCAAACGGAGAGATAACACCTGAACAAGGGGAGCCACAGGCCCTTATTCCCAAAAGAAACAGCAGGCTGTGCTCACCCCAGGAATTTCCCCCTCCCAAATGTTTCCCTTATATAAATTTGCTTCTGAAAGCTCAGGGAGAGATGGATGTTTGGGTTTTTATCCACCACCTCCTCAGCTTGCTCACCTTTGATATTAAAAAAGTACAACTATAATCCAATCCCTGTGGTTTCAGTATCATGAATGTTATGATTATTTCTAGAGTTCGGCCTTCTTGGATTTAACAGTAATGTATTATGAAGGGCTGCTGGCCCCTTGGATGTCCCAGAGTGTCGGAGACCTGGGCCTTTCTTTTCTCAGTTCCTGCAAGTGTATTTCTCTGTTTCTGCGCCCCCCCCCCCCGCCTCCCAGTGAGTTGTGGCAACACCGCACAGAACAGCCTCAAGAATCTGTATCAAAGTCATAGGAAGCCTGGGTTCCCTTCAATGCACTGAGGGCCTAATTTTTCAAGGCTGGGTGGAGCTGACAGGAACTCCCACGTGGGATATCCAGGTAGCTCTTCACCCCAACTCTTGTCTTCCAGGGTCCCTGTCCCTTTTGTTTTTGAGCTTTGAGGTGGCAAGAGCCCGTCAGCCAGGGAATATGATACAAACTCTTCAGTATGACTTACCTGGCATGGGTGCAGGATAATCTGGGGAGGCAGGAAGTGCTTGTACCCTGAGGGGACTCTGTCCCTGCTGTGGCCCAGGGGGAGCTGGGAGGGCCGTCCCAAGAAGTGGGGGACACAACTCTGCCAAGGGGCTAGTGGAGCCATAGGCAGGGAAACCCCCTGAGGGGGCTCCTAAACTGAAGCTGAATGAGCCACACTTTGAAGACCAGATTGGCTACTTACTGTTTATCGGCCCCAGGCTTTTAGTAGAATCTTGTTCAGGTTTCCTGCTTGGCTTCAGGAAATCAGAGAAGGATGCTGAGTGCACACTTATCTGGAGAGTCAGTGGGGGAACAGCACCTGAGTTCAAGGTGATGGGAGCAGAGTCACCAGGGAGAGATGCCCCCAAGAAGGAGATGAATATTGGGGAGCAGAGAGTTGGGGGCAGAAGCCCAGCAGCTGCCTCCTCTCGTGGCCGACCTTGGGAAATTTGTCTGACTTTTGTTATGTGAGCTGTTGGGTTTCCTGATATGAACTCAAAGTGACTTTACTCTACCACCCACCAGTACTTGTTCTGAGCAGAGGACACAGTGGGCAAAGGCCCAGAGCAACAGAAGAGCATGGGCCATGGACGGTGGGGTCCACGGGCAGGGACACTGGTGGAGGGGCCCTCTGAGCAGGGCACTGGGGGAACTTTGAATCCGGGGTTTAGCGAGATTTGTCCCAGGTATTGTGGGAGATGGGGCCCTAAGGCAGAGAGAGCTATCGTGACCAGTGGGAGGATCCCTGAGACAAGGGGATAGTGGGAGATTGCGCCCTTGAGAGAGGGGACCTATCCTATGACAGGCGGGCCTTGAATTGGGGGGATGGTGGGAGATGAGGGGGCACCTGAGAAGACTGGGAGATGGGCCTTGGCCCCAGGGTCCCTCTAGCCCGAGGTCCCTTTCCTGTCTCCTGGATCCCAGAGGAAGAAGAGCTGGGAGGGTGAGAAGACCTCAGCATAGTCAACCAGGAACCTGGGTTATACGAGTATTCCTGCTGTGGGACCTCAGGGAAGTCCCTGCCCTCTCTGGGCTTCTGGTTGCCTGTATATGGGAGCATTTCTTACACTGCACCTGATCAGTAAGACAGTTTCTGCAGCCTCCCGAAGGAAGGTCCAGGCTCACACCACCCCTCCCCCACAGATTCAGGCACTCCTTCAGCCATTGTTTTGTACAGTGGGCATGTGCACACACGCACTCACACTCATGAGCTCCGAGCACCCGGGCCCCAGGCCCTCCTGAGTCACATCCCCGGACTGTGTTAGGAAGGCTGCCTTGAGGGAAGTGGTATAGCTGCCCCACCAGAATGGTCAAAATTCAAAAGACTGACAATATCAAGTGTTGACAAGGATGTGAAGCAACTGGAACTTTCATGCACAGTGGGAATGCAGGATGACGTGAGAACTTTGGAAAAGGTCAGGCTGTTTCAGTTAAAGTTAAACACAGTCCAGCCCATGTCCTGCAGTCCTGCTCTTAGGCATGTACTGAATGTATCATTACTAGAATGTCCCTGTTCCTAGCAGCACCAAGTGAAACGGCCTCCAAAGAGGAAACAACCCACCCTGGCTGGTGTAGCTCAGTGGATTGAGCACCGGACTGCAAACCAAAGGGTTGTTGGGTTGATTCCCAGTCAGGGCAAAAGCCTGGGTTGTGGGCCAGGTCCCCAGTGGGGGTGTTCACCAGAGGCAACTACACATTGATGTTTCTCTCCCTCTCTTTCTTCCTCCCTTCCCCTCTCTCTAAAAATAAATAAAATCTTTTTTTTAGAAAAGGAAACAACTCTAATGTCTATCAATAGGAGAACAGACAGACAAATTGTGTTATAGTCACACAGTGGAATACTATATGGCGGTGAAAAGGAGTGGGCTTCCAACACATACGACAGCGTGGGTCACTCTCCCAGACACAAAGCTGAGAATGAGAATTCAGGCACAGGAGATAGCACGCCACAAGGTTTCATTTATACGACGTGCAAGAACAGGCTCAACAGAAGTCGGGTCAGTGGCTGCCTCTGGAAGGGGGCCGGCTAGAAAGGGCCACAGGGGAACTTTCTGGGTGGATGGAGATGTTCTCTACCTTGATCTGGGTGGATGTAATTTTTAAAACTGTTCAGCCGTGCCTTTAAGATTTTTACACTTCACTGTATGAGAGTTTCTCCCAGTAAAAGAGGGAGAAAATAGCACAGTGACTCAGAGCTTGGGTAGCCTATAGAAATCCCAGATCTGTGACCTCTCAGCTCTGTGACCTTGAGCAAGCCGCTGCCCCTTTCTGTGCCTCGTACCTGTGAGGGTTAAATGAGCTTATACGCATCAAGTGCTTAGGCGAGGGCAGAGCACAGAGCGCCCCATGAATCGCCAGCGCCTCACCACAGCCGCCCCCACCCCCGTCGCCTCCCTGGGGACCTGCTCCAACACGTCCTCCCCCCACAGTCCCATCTCCTGAGGAATTCAAGCTGCTTCCCTTGTCACTTGCGTTGGGAGGACAACGCCACGACTGGATGACCCTGTGAGGTCGGGACTCCCGCGCCGGTGCCGGCTTCTCCCCCTGGCACGGTGCGCAGCACCCCAGCCGGCACGCCCACACCCCCAGTCCGGAAAGCAAGCACGGCACACACCGCCTCTCTCTCCCCACTGATATATTTGATAATTGTCCAGAACCAGAGATGGCATCAGCCAGGGCGGGGGGACATCGAGGGGGAGTAAAAAAGAGCCCAGGGAGGGGGCTGGGAGGTAGGGGTGAGGGGAGGGAGAGGAACAGAGATACAGAAAAGAGAGGAGAGAGGCAGGGCGGGGGTGGGGAGAGAAGCCAGCCAGAGGCAGGGAGAGAAGGAGGAGGTGGGGGATACTTTGAGGGGGTGGGAGCAAGGTGGGGGCCACGGGGAGAGAGGGCCCCTCCCCCCAGAATACAAAATGGGGGGGTCTGGAGGGGGCTGTCCTGGGCTTTC